CTCCCCGCTAAGCATAAGTAACTGTTCCTGGATGGTTCTGACATTATACACACGACATGTTGCATCATGTTGCCTCCCTGACCGAGAATAACGTAACAAAGCAGCGTGCTGCATGCTGCAGGTCCACTATGTGTTGGCTCCCAAGCAGATCAAATCATCACATCTGGCTGTGGGTCAGGACCACCGGACGGAGACCGACATGGATGTTTTCCATGATCTTCCAGGTGATTTTCACACCTGTCCCCATCATCCCGATGTTCCTGGGAATCCAAGAACGCTGACGGATTCCGCTCGTCCGTGGCACCGCGATTTTCGCTTCGGCCCGGCTCGTGTCGTTCGTTTCGGGTGTTCAGCCTAAGGGCACCGGGCGCGTGTCCAGCACGGTGAGCTGCGAACAGGCCTAGAAGGGCAGGGCGGGCTTGCAGGTCATGCCGGGGGTGCCATTTGGTATGAACCATATGTTCTTTTGAAAAAGGAAGAAAACATCATCTCCCAAGAGCACCTGTTTTGTCTTTTCGGGGGGGAAAAAATTGCGGTGGCAGATCTTGAGATCTTGGACTTGCTGCAAGTGGTCCTGCGTTCCAGTGGTCAGCTCACGTGTTTCAGTTTGGCATCTAGCGAGAAGGACGGCATGTTTGGAGTGTTTGATGTGTTGGACACATGCCAAGAAGGGCCCAGGACATGCCAAGAAGGGCCCGGGACATTCCTCAGGACATGTGTGGCCTTAGATTGATTAGATCATCTCAAGCCATCTCTGAGCCCATCAGAGATGAGAGTCTGCACATGTCTGGTCTGCACTAGATGGAATTGATATGAATTGATCATTTCACGGTAGGCAAGAGAGTAACTGAGTCGTTATATTCTCCTGTTGGTATGAGCTCCAAAAACAGTTCACCTAAAAAGCCGGCCCCTGAAAACCGGATGTCCGCAAATGGCCCCTCCGCAAATGGCCCACCAATTTCCCTGCGCCAGCGGACCAGTTTCCCGTTCCGGTACTCCACGAAGGGCCCCTGCGGACGAGCGGCACGAACATGCGGCGCGAACAGGTGTGAGTGTTCCCACGACAGTGCGGTGAACAGGAGAGTTTTTTCCCACAACAATGAACATGGCAGAACTGGCCGAACACCTGAAAACGCCCGCATAGGTTCACGCAAAGGTTCACAGCAGGGAACATCTTGCCACATACAGCCTCGCTCTCAGTCTTGTTTTTCTCTCACCCAGAGTGTTTTCTCCTCTCCAACACTCACAGTTCGGGTTTGTATTAGAATCAAGAGATCCCGTTCATCCCCGTTCCAGTTCGACCACCCTGGAAGAGGAAGACAGACCCAGGAACTACAGCTACCCCTTACCAGGGCCTCACGTGTCGACCTACCCCGCCTCGCAGCGGCAGCGCAGCAGCGCCCGAGGGGCAAAGAACAGGCCTCCAGGGCGCCTCGGGTCGGACGTCTGTCGGAGCCAGGCACGGTTCGTTCGGCGAGTTTGGTGGAAGACTGGGAGCCACACGGACTTGGGAGCCAAGCCACGGTAAAACTGGGCACTTCGTAACCGATCTTTAGAGTTTTGTTGGGATATGAGTTGTTCAAAGGTTTTCATACATATATATATATATATATATGTGTGTGTGTGTGTCTTTCGCTGTGAAGAAGACTCCAAGACATTCTCTGAATATCAACTATTCGATGGAGTTAGGGAGTACACTGGATTACTACTGCCGCTCCGGTCCTTCTCCGCTGAGTCTTCCCACGCCGGCACCCGTTGGCGCAGCGCCGCTGCCTCGGTGCGGCACACGTACCTGGAGCTCCGAGAGCGGCAAAAAAAAACAAGCAAAACACAAATTAAAAACTATAATAAATGGACTCCTATCAATTAAATCTATAAATACATAAATCTAAACAATCGAAAATCCGATTTGGTGCTGCGATGTCTTGTGGGGACTCTTTTGTCTGCCTGGTGGGCTTGAGAGATCGAACTGGAGCACAGATATACAGGTCGTGCCGCAACAGAGGCGTGTGACAGTTGGCGGTTTAAAAAAAAGAAAAAGCGACTTCGAAATGGGAGGAACTTCTGTGTGTTTCCGATCAGTATAGAATAGTATAGATCATGGGTGTTTGGGGTGTCCCATGGTGTCCCCACAAAACTTGGATGAATACTCGATGGTCCCGATGGACAAGTGCAATCTGGCTACTGAACACTCAGACGCGGCAACACAGACCCTTGCGACATGGAGTGGAAGGCTGAGAAGGCTGAAGTTCCTCCCCATTGAGACATTGCGATGAAACCAGCACCACTAAACGCGTGCCATTCAACCCCTCTGAACGCGTGCCCAACCCGGGTCACAGACCGCCAGCATGGTTGGGGCGGGCGTCATCCCTGCACAACCGACGAGCGAGTATACTTGCTCCATCTACGGTCAATTGGTTGTGCGGCCCTCTCGCCCATCATGGAAGTCGATGGCATGGTCCCTGGAAAGACCGTTTTGCTCTGCTACTACAAACAGGGAGTTGTCCACTTCCATTTTTGTTAGGGTACATGGACAGCCGAAAGGATTGAAGTGAAGCCAAAAATCAACAGGAGTCGCTAACTCACCCTGCCAGGGTCAACTGCTAAGGGCAAATCACTCAGGATCTGGAATCTGGAAAATGTTCATAGATTGCTGCTGGGCTCCACATCAAGACCATCTCAGATTCCAAGTCAAACCCTCCGCTCCTCACAGTGGCACCAAGCACATACTCCATGCGGTCTCCAGCCCAAATGCTCAGCAGGCGATCGCCCACCTAGCGCGACAGAACCGGACGACGTCGTTCGTTCCTGGGGAGAACCCCAGCCAGATCGGTACGGAAATGTTGATGGAAGCGTCCTTGCTCCTAGTAGTAAGGCACTTGTTTCTACTAGCTTCTTGTTACTACTAGTAAGGCACTTGTTACTAGAAGCGATGCACTTGTTCCTAGTAGCGTCCTTGCTCCTAGTAGTAAGGCCAGGAGCCCCGAACGTAGCGTCCTTGCTCCTAGTAGTAAGGCCAGGAGCCCCGAACGTAGCTTCCTGTACGAGTCGACGACACCAAATACAGGGACACCAACCGCGATCTTTCGTTCGCAAGTCCCACCGTGGAGAACCAGTAAGGTCTAGGATCTGATCAATTGCTGGCCATCAACAAAACATGGAAGCGCACGAGAAACACATATTCAGACTGGATCGAAGATGAGATTCACTCATGTTCACTCTACCAAGGGCAATCTCAGTCCTATCTTTCTCAGCTTTGTCCAGAATTTCCGCCTAACTTGACTCCAACTGCTAGTTCTAACCCACGACCTTCGACTCATCGGCATTAAGATGGATCCGGACTCTCAGGACTCTCAGGATGGTCACGAACTTCGACTCTTTCAGGTCTCGACCTTCGACTTGCTGGACGGCTCGGCGACCATCACGCGTCGGTCCCCGAGGCGTCGGTCGACGCCTTTGCAACCACTTTGTAGCCGATCCCATTCCAGCCGAAGACCTCCTCCCGGAGCTGACTGGGATCTGCACGCAGCTCCTCATGGCGTGCAGATGCATTCGAGGTGCTGGTCGGATAAGCTCCTATTGACTGGTACAGTATGGTACACATTTTCTCTGCCCAACAGTATGGATGTTGAGCATGATCCGTTATGCGCTCTGATGTAGGTATGTCTTCGGAGAGTATCCAAGACATCAGTTCACAAGCATATGGGTCCAAATTTGAAGTCACCTGGGATTCCAAAGATAGATAGTTATAGAATGGTATAGATAGTTCACCTGGGATTCAGTCACTTTGCAGGTCGATAGTCATTCTGATCGCTTGGGAGTCAGGCCTTCGACCCCCCCCCCCGCTGCCTCCCACACCGGCGGAGCCCTCCCGGATTCCTTTGGCACCGATGGAAGCGAGCCGAAGCCCAACGGCTCTGAAAGCCCTGTGGATGGAGAGAGTGTTATAGTTCTAGAGTCCTAGAGGTCATATGCGTAGTTAAAAGCTATTATGCTACGTATCAGGTGACTCTCGGCACATGTGGCTCTCCTCGACGTTGATCCTCCAAGAGCTCGCTCGAGGCTGTGAATCCATGGCCGAATTCCATGCACGTTGGCCGATGGCCGAGGATGGGTGAGGGTGATGGATGGCACATCAAGTGGGTGATGGCTGCTTGGTTTTTTGGCCTACGAAAAGCGCAAAGCAAGTGATTAATTAACCTGAACCAGACACCCTTGAGCAGCCCAACTGCAGCACACCATGGCAAACGTCTGGTTCAGATCTGACAGGGAACCCTGCTCAATTCATCTGATCATCTGATGCCCTGAATGTATCGTTCACCCCCGAATCGCAGGGTCCACTTGCATCTACCGGTTTCACCGGCTCTGTGGCGTACATCGGGGGTTCTGAATGACAACAGTACTCGCAGAAAGCCGCCAAACACGACGGTACCTCTGAGCTGTTCATCACCTGGCCTGGAAGGAAAGAAACATACGACTGAGTCGATATGAAAAACCTCCTGCATCTATTTGTCTGCGACATCCATTCAAACCATGTGAATTGGGAGATTAACAGAGTCTTGCAATGATTCCAAATGGCTCCGCTTGGATTCCTACTACTGTACTTGTTTGCTCTCCTTTGATTTAAAAAACTGCGGCCGAATGAAGGACTCTGTGGTGCGAACGCAGCTCGTCGCAAAGAAGTGCAAGGACATCACTGCGTCGTCTTGAATCATATGGATGTGTATTAAAACAGGGAGACCTCCCCCAAAGACCCCCTGGAAGAAACGTTTCCCCAGGATATGCTTTTTCAAGCTACATACCTAAGTACCTTTCGGACATGCCAATTTGGGTCACTACCTTTGTAGCTGATGGACAAGAAGGAATTCCCTTACATCGTGGTGCACTGTTCTATCTAGTTGGGCCCACTATCCATCCTATCTACAAAATCCGTCAGGCAAAGAAGGATGGTTTGCCAAACAAGCTAGCATGCCCTCTCCCAGTGTCCGGCCACATTTCTTAGAAATGGAAACGATATCAAGAACTTGATGCTGTACGCTTTGCATGCAGCATCTTAATGAAAAAAAATATGCATGCATTTCGGAGAAACTCAGAAGAACACTCACCTCAGTCACGAACGACGTTGAAACATGTTGAAACATAGACGTCGAGACGTTTTTTCATATGGCACGTCCGTTATACATCAAAGCAACGAACAAACAGAGGTTTGGAGGTACCCAGATCCTGGCCATACCAATCGATGGAGGCTTTTTGAATCGGGCCTGATGGTAGTCCAATCTGGAGGGAGTCCTCAAAAAAACAGAATCACCCTTGTACCTTCAGGACCTTCAGCAGAGCAAGCTGTACGTGGGAGTTTCAAGGTGCTGGGAGCTCCGTTTTAAATCAGTTGCTCAAAAAGGCAAAAGGAACATCTGCAGGAATGCTGCTGATTGGGTAGTGAACATCGACCGATTGGGTTCATCACTTTGGAAGACACCATGTGAGGCTCATCATAGGCTCGGCTCATGTGATACATAATGTTTTTGGGCAGCTTTCTGCATGCAGGGTTGACGCACAAATACATATCCATGTTGATCTCCACGGCACCGAATCGTGGTCGCAACTTTTTCATCTTGGTCATGCCCCCAACACAGGATCTTTGGAATCCTCGCCCGATGGCACCACCCACACCGTCCGCCGTGAGGAAAACCACATCGAGAAAAACCACACCGAGCGCGGCGCTCAGAAAACTGCGCAAAAACATTCCGCGCGCGGGGGCTGAAAGCTGCCAGGGTCGCTTCTTGCTGTACTTGTTCTTGGCGAGGGAATAGATGAGCGTGCCTGGTGTCGGCCATCAGCGAAAAAATAAAAAGAAACACCGTTGTTCTTCTGCGGCATCGAGTGCATACTACGACCTCGGAGGGTGCATCGTCCAAAACCCAAACCCCAAACCCCAAACCCAGCTCCCAACGACCATCGGTCCAGCTGCGTTCGGTCGACGTCTCGGACGTTCACCCGTCGTCCCCCTTTCGCGCGAACGCCGCGCCTGCGATGGCGACGCAGCTGCCCAAAATGCCCAGGGGGGTCACTGGATTGCGGAACACGAAGATGGCGGTGATGATGATGACCACCTCAGCGACTCGTTCGTGGTAACGAGTAGAGAACGTGGCGGTGAGGGAACGTCGCTGACCGTCAAGCTGACCCACGTGCCCAATGGGTCGACCGATGAAAGAGACCCCCAAGAAGTCGACCTGTACGGCTCCCGAAACTCGGGGTGTCTAATTGTAGCTCCTTAGAGGTGATTCGGGGTATCCATACATCACCCCTAGGGGGCCTTGGTATACGGCAGTCCATTGGACTCCCCATCACCCGGGAGAACATGAAGAACTGGAACTGGGGTGATCTTGCTAGCGAACAAAACACCTTTAGCTTTGGTATGTGTTTGGATTGTTTTGATTGGTATCCTCTGAGTGTCCTCAGTACATTGGCACTTCTTTCTCCGGAGATCTTGTTCTTGTAGTTGGTCGTCTCTGGGACATGTTCCGGAAGGAGGTCTTGTGGTCAAGTGCTACCCTGCCATGCACCCCTCCGAGCCTTCGATCCAAGGCCCAAGCGAGGGCCATGACGGAGGGGGTTGCAGCCACGGGCGGAACCCCCCAAAGGGTCCACCAGGGTCCCCGGCGCGCTTCATAGTGTTGCACACCGCGTGGGACCTGGCAAAACAAGGGTGGTGTGATTGAAGCGTCTGACAGGACCTATGAATGTCATCACAGTGACACTTAAAAAGGATTGATATGCCAATCCCCTTCAAGCAAGTCCTGGAAATTGTGTCAAATCCATCATGTTGGGATCTCGATCAAATTAAACAGGAGAGGAAAAGTCGGGAGCCTTCTCAACCTCTGGCGGGCATGTAGAAGAACTTTCTGTCTACTTGGCGTTTGCAAAAAAAGAAGTACCTGATCCTTTTCCTGGTCCAAAAGCTTACCCTTCCAATATAAAGTGGGCAAGGCTTACATCGAAAAATGTGTGGTAATCGCAAGGGGTGTCGAAACCACCAGTTTTGCTGCGGTCTGGAGCCTTTCATAGAAGCTCTGAAGCCTCATGTCTCATGACCCTTTCACATGAGGCGACAGATTGTGGAGCCACCACAAAAAAACTCATGAACTATCTGAGGTCATTTGAATTTCCAGGAACTGGAGGAGATGTTGTGTTCGGACAAGCCACCGTCTCCCCCTTTCGAAAGATCTCGCCGAGCCACACAGGATCCAGCTTGCCAAGTGCTTGGAAGGCCACCTCGTTGTACATGTAATAGTAGAAGCCGCCTCAACGTCGAAGGGGAAGTTTCAGGTGAAATAAGGAACTTGACAAGTCACGCAGTTCCTGGCCCAGCCCAGCCCTTCCTACACAAGCGGAGTGGCTTTTTGCCTCCACGTGGTGGAAAACACAGCACCAAACCCCCACCCCGAGTAACTCATGGACTCCGGTACGGAATGATGTTCCTCTTGTACTTCAAAGCTGCTCAAGATGTACAAGACAAGTACCCCCATCATTTTTAGCAGCATGATGTTCCTCTGTTCCTTGTTGACTTTGTGGATTGACCCGGACCGGACACAGTACCCGCCCAAGGATCATCCATCTGCTCCAAGTCGCTGAGGATCATCCTGAGTTCGGCAGAACGCACCCATAAAGCGTTCGGCAGAAGCAGCGAACGCCAGTGTTCTCTTCCAAGTTCCTTGTATTTCTAGATGAGGGTCTTTGGGAAGTTGATGGGATCCCTCATCTTGAGCATCTGATTTGGCAGGTAAAAGCTATGGAATATATATCATCAGGGGGTGGATTCAACACTCCTTCTGTGACTGCGGACTCTCAGGTCCACGGGTCTATGGTCAACTCCCAAACAAAACACTCCTGGGCAACATCAACAATACATCACTTACTTTATATAGGTTGACTGTCACTGTTTAAAGGCAAGACTCTCTCATCCTGGGCGGAAGGGGGCACGTCTAGTCTCATACTTTAGAATTGAGCCGTCTCGCAATCTCAAGTCCGCTTTCTCACGGTCTTGGGGAATCCCGCCGCCTCCTGCCGCTTCCTGCCTCCCGCCGCCTCCCGCTTCCAAAGCGCACGCGCGGTTGATCACACCCAAGCGCGAGCGGAATCCCACCCAAGCGCGCGTTCGCGACGTGCAAACGGCCAAGTAGTCCAGGGCACTGCCACATGAAGTGGCTGCCGCCGGCGGACAAGGCCACCTTGAAGCCCTTGACCATTGCCTCGGACTCGAAAGCAAAACCGCCAAAGAAGGTGTTGGCGGGTCAAATGTGGTTCCGAGCCATTTAATCGCCAGAAATGTGGGAGTTATTTCTGAGAACAATACATGTGGAGACATTGGTTTGTAAAAGAAATATGTCTTGATCTAATTCTTTTGAACTCTTCTTTTCACACCTTTTCTGTACCAAGCTTTCTGGAACCATCTGCAACCCTTGAAGAAGAGTCAAGCTCTTGATCCAAGAACTCCAGGTGACATGTAAGAAGAAAGCATCGGCGGTGGATGTGGCTTCCTTTGCGCACATCGGTGGCCTTCGTTTGCGGGCGTCTGTGAACACTGAGGGAGTCTGGCGGAACGGAGCAGCTCAAAACAACCATCCGCTGCGAAAACGTGCGAAGAAGCTTTTCCATCGCATGATATCCCACTGTTTGAATTGATCTATAACCTTTTCCATCGCATGGTATCCCATTCCCAACATCCAAGAATGCTGGAGTTTGATGGTGTGAGTGAAAGCCTTTATACCGGCATCCACGCATCCCGTTCGGCCCTAGGCATCGCCGATTTCTCCACCGTACCGCCGCAATGGTCACTTCGCCCCATCAACCGTCTGCACCGTCTACGCCACCTGTGTGCACCAGACTCTCCACTCTGCGCTCCAAGTAGCGGTGGGGCCCTCAATGGCCAAGCTGATGGGGATCAGCATGAAGGTGGCCATGATTGTCAGGACCTCAAAGCGACGCAAGGCGCAGGAAGCAGCTGCCAGTCGTGGCGACGGATGTGACCGATGTTTGCATAGTACAATCCAAAATCACACAGTACAATCCAAAATCACACATGGGTAGAAGGACAAATCAATTATATGAGACAAGTGAATTTGGAATGAACTTGAGGGTTAAAAGGAGAAAACCCTTGGTAAAAATAGGGACTAAACCCGTCAGTCCCTGGGTCAAACACTTCTTGTGCCACATCCAGGTTCACATTGACTGTGTCAAGTCACATGTGTCAAGTCGTCGCTTGGCGCACCTGCGACGTCACCATGTGTCAAGGCACGCGGCACGCGCGCGAGTTGCGCGGTAGTTTCAAGCCACCTTCCCGGAGGGGACCTGTGGACACCACCTTTTGAAGCGTTTTGTGTCTCCCTCTGGAGTCGTAGATCATACCAGGTTGAGTCGGTCGCTTCGTTCGGGGACCTGTGGGGGGACTGAACCCGAACCCACCGTGCTTTCTGGCCTTGCGTGGCCACTCTGGCCACTCTCCGCAGCGAAGTGATCGGAGAAAAACAGATACACCTCACAGAGTACCTAAAGAAATAGAGGTTTTTTGCTAGGCATATCATCCAATGATGTTGCGAAGTACATCACTTGCAGGTAGCGTATGATATAAGCCAGCCTAAGCTACTGTTCTATGGGCCCCTCCAGCTACTGTTCGATGATACATTATGATACTGCTCTGTGTGTTGCCCAGTCTAACCTCGTAGACCCGCTGCCACACCCGGCGCCCCCGACGGAGAAGGTGTTGCTCGAATCCATGTTCTCACCTCGATTCGCTCGGTTTGAACCGGACGACCAAATGACGCGTCCTCTACGCAACAAAGACCAAACCCGCTTGGATGCTTGGCCAAACACAAAACTCTGCATGTGCGTGTGTGCGGATTGGAAGCAATCTGAAGATCTTGCTTCCCTTGCGAATGATGGATCAAAAATAACATCAAATTATCTACTTTCTTCAGTTCCAAGTCCCAAGTGCATCCATGTGGCTGTTGCAAACTGCATATTTGATATTTGGGGTACAGTAGACCAAATGAAACCACTTCGCAGGTGCATGATATGATGCATTTTCCACACAAAAAGATGCTCTCTCAGGCTCAGGCAAACCCCTGCATTTCGCATAAACCAATCTCCTGCTGGGCACTCCTCAACCCCTTCAGCTGTCAAGACCGACAGAAGACCCGACAAGAGCATCCAAGTGATTCCAGGCCCATCCATCCCCCATCCATCCAGTCTCATCCACTGCCTCCAGTCTCAACCCCAGAAGGTCCACAAAAAAGGAGCCCTGCAGCCACCAGCGTTCCAGGCGACCTGGCTACAGCCTGTAAGAGGTTTTACAATCCAATTGGGGGGGCTTCATGAATCAAGAGTTTACCTTATCCATCCACCAATCCTCCCAAATGCTCTGCGGCCCTGGCCAATGTCTCCCTTCATCACCTACACATGGGTGGCAGGTCTTGAGTGCGCACACAGTCCGTGGGGAGCGACATCCAGGGTAGCAAAGTAGGTGGCAGAAACATCCTAAGTCACTCAAAAAGGGAACGTGGCAAACCTACCGAAACCCGGCATATTCAACAAAAAAAACTACAAAATATACTCTGAAAGTCTAAGAGTCTAAAAACAATGCCTAACCGACATACCAACTCGTGGAAAGGATGTGGGCAGAAAGCACTCCATCTCAGAAAGGACGCCCTCCAAGCACTTGGTTCCATCCATCTCTCCTCTTCCAGCACTGGATGGAAGAAATCCTTCTCCACCTGACTACCGAACTGCAGGGGGTCTGTCTCTAGCTGGAAAGCTTCAGGAATGCATCCACACCCTTTTCTCCAAAGGAAATGCATCCTCGTGACCTCGCCCGACCTCGCCCGACCTCGCCTCTCCGACGCTCGCGAGCAACTCGAAGCTCGGCGCGAGATCGGGTTGCTTGGGAGATCGGGTTCCGGCGCCTTCTTGCTGTAGACAGCTCGTGAGGCGGAGCCCAAGTTGGAGCCCATGGCAGCTCCAAAGCAGAGCCTTGGCCGGAGGTCCGCGAGGCGGCGGCCGATCGGTGGGCTGAGGGGGTAGGTAGACTGACGAAGCAAAGGGAGATGTACTTGACCCACCCAAAGCAATGGGGCGGGAACACCATTGGCAAAAAAGAGGTATTATACAATAGATGGACAACATGGAGACCGGTGTAGAAAACTTGAGCGGGGAAACACGAAAGGTAGAGACGGACCGAGTAGCTGTCGGGACCTTTTCTGGTGAGGGACTGACTGTCTCCGGTGTTTCAGGAACGTGCCCCTTGGTCAATCATGGATGAAACCAACAAAGCCAGAGAGCACAAGAAGGCATAAGAAGGCTCAAGAGGAACACCGTTGCGGTCAGATTGCGCCACACGGCTCTGCAGAGAGGCTGCGTTGCGTCGACGCTCGTTTGTGTCTAGGTGTGTGAAAACAGGCGCGCGTAAAAGTCGCAATGCGTAAACGCTCGCATGTGTACCAGCTATGGCCCCACAGCTGCACGCACTGTGTCAGGATTGCAGGCCTGCACGCGCTGCGTCGAAGCCGCAGTGACTCAGTGACCAACCCCCTTGTAAGGATAGTGCTGGAGGGGTGCGGCCGGTACTGCCAGGGATGGACGTCACGCTATGGTGGGTGTGCTCCACGATGCGGTAAGATTTCGCCACGCTAGGGTATAAGGCTGAGTCGAATGGTGTTCCGCGACGCGAGGGGTTTCTCCACAGGGCTTTGCAGAGAGGCTGTGTTGCATCGATGCTCGTTGGTGTCGAGCAATATGGTCTGTGAACGCAGTACGCGCTGTGTCAGGCTGCCGGGTGCGCACGCGCGGCATCGAAGCTGCATTGCGCGACCTCATTGCGCAGGGTTCGTGCTGTATTGCGCAACCTCATGGCCAGCGTCGTACTGCTGTGACTGTTAAGCGCATGACTTCACCTTATGTCCAGAATTTAGTAGTGCTGGCGACGAGGGGAGGGGACGGGGAGGGGAGTGGAGGGGAGGGAGGGGGGGGGGGGGGAAAAAATGTTTTTTTAATTAATTTTCCAATGGGGGGGGGGGGGGTGGGGGTGTTAGACATTGATCTACCAATCTT